CCAAGTAGAGAACGACCCGGTGGCGAGAGGTCTCGCATCCGCAGCATCTGAATAATGTCACCTGAGTCCAAAGCCAATTCAGCGGCAGCTCTGGTTCGATTCCAGGCTGGGTCATGTTTCCAGCTTCAATCCTTTTTTAAAAGTTCCTCCTCAGCGTAAGTGCGATCTCATGTCGCATTCTGAATCTATTGTCCTGATCATGAAACCTGAATTTCACCCTCGAGATTCACCGTTCCTGCATGCTGGCACTAGCTTGAAACCCGGATGCCCGAGTATTTTTTATTTTGGACACAATGCAATTAATAAATGCTATCTTCGAGGCAATTTGGAACAGCGTAACACGAAATCCAGTCAATACCACCACTCTCGGCCATAGAGAAAGAACGACCCGGTGGCAAGAGGTCTCGCATCCGCAGCATTTAAATGGTCTTGTTCCAGAACCAATTCAGCGGAGCACTGGTTCGATTCCAGGCTGGGTCATGGTCTAGTTTCAATTCTTTTTCATAACTCCGCCTCGGCTAACGAATCTCCTCAGGCTATCGCATCTGCAGCTGCATCTACATCCTCTATGTACCACCTCTACTGTCCTGAAAGTTGAACCCGGGGATGATCAGCTTGAAACCCGGGATGCCCGAGTATGTTTTTCTTTCGGACACCAGGCAATCGCTAAATGCGATCTTCGAGGCAATTTGGAACAAGCGCAACACGAAATCCAGACACCAGTGTTCTCACCATCAAGTGGAGAATGACCTGGTGGCGGGAGGTCTCGCATCCGCAACATCTGGAAATCCCCCGGTTACAGCCAATTCAGCGGGCTCTGGTTCGAATCCAGACCGGGTCATGAGGCGTTTCCGGGTAATTTCTTTTTGTTCTCTTCCTGGACTACTTGTCTCATGTACTTTCGCGCAGACCATATCCCGAACCTTCGATCTCGACTACAATGTACAATTGATTTGCTTCAAGTGGGTTCGATCCACCGCTTCCAAAAGTCCGTCCTAATGCGGAGTACCTCAGCAGGATAGGCAGGACCCAGTGGCGAGAGGTCTCGTGCCCGCCCTGGTTAGACGAGTGGGCAAGTTGCCTCAGCGGGAGGTCCTGGTTCGACTCCAGGCTGGGTCACAGACGGTTGCGCAATTCCTTTTTTCAAAATTCCTCCTCGGCGTAAGTACTATCTCACGTTGTCGGAAAAAAATCAAATTGTATACAACGGCACAGAACATATCCTGTGCCGTTGCAAGGTCATATGGTTTTTTGTGGCTTGCAGCACGGAGGTTAGGTTCTTGAGACCGGTCTCAAGCCTCGCCGTGGTTCTCAAGGCGTCTCAAGGTGTCTCAAGGTCTTCTGCACCATATGCTCTTACAATATGTCTCAAGCCGCCTAAAGGTGTCTGGAGCACTGCTCTGCCGTACCTACCGGTTACCCTGCATCTTCAATTATATCACTCATGGAAGAACTGTATGAAACATATAGTATTTCATGATCTATGTACATAACGTTCCATAGTATACCAAGAGGGCGCACTCACTTGACGTGCACGGGAAAAGATAGCACGCGCGGCGGATGTGCACCTGGGGATATGAAGCAGTGGGTTAGAGGCTCTAGTATAGAACAAAACACACGTACCTCGTGAGGATGCATCCGCACGGGCACACGGGCTGTCTATGATACAGAGCAAAGAGTCAGTGCTCGGAGTGGACTTGCATGTAACGTGGACGCACCAGATGAAACGGAGGCGCACCTCCGGATGTTGAAGCGGGGGGAGGTGGCAGATGAAAGAGGGTCACAGTAACTGAGTAAGAGTAAGTAGTACGTCGTCGAATGTGAAAGGGCGCACCATTTGAATTCACCACTAGACGCGACGGACGTCCAGACTCTAGAGCCATCCAAGCACCGATCTTGTGTTCGGGCAATGAAGGCCTGGGCCGTGCTGGATATATGGGCGGGCGACATGGGCGGTGGTGGTGGGAGGAAAGCAAGAGTGGTTGTGGAGCTGTGTGGAGTCATATAGCCCCGACCAAACAATGACGTCACTTTACTCCGCCTGCGCTTGCTGCGACACCAAAACAACCACCAGCGACTCTCGGACGCGCCGGACGGACCTAGATATGTCTGACTCGGGGCCCGAGCGGGAAGCTTACCTGATGCACCCTACTTGTCCAAACTCAATACACGGCCACCACAGCGCCCATCTCTCTCCCAAATTTCCAACTGTTGATTGTGTCAACGAGAATATTTATTTACCTGTAAATAATATCCGAGTCGCTTAAATGGCTGTTCTGGTATTTTAAAACAAGGGGCTGTTGTGAGCCGTCTCAAGGCGTCTCAAGTCCAGCCCACCTTGTCACGGCTTGGGACTGCTTAGGAGACACCCACTTTGCTTGAAACGGCTTGAGAGAACTTGAGAGCCGTGGCTGAGGAGCTTGTAACCGCTCTCAAGCCGTCTCAAGGTCTCAAGCCGGCTCATGCCGTTGCAAGTAATTTAACTTTTTTCCGACAGTCGCATCTGCACCCTCTGACCACAGATCTGGTGTCCTGGCCTCGAGATTCACCGGTTCCTGCAGGCTGGCACTAGCTTGAAACCCGGATGCCCGAGTATCCTTTTCTCCCGGACACAACGCAATCGCCAAATGCCATCATCCCCAAGGCAGTTTGGAACAGCGCAACACAAAATCCAATCAACACCAGGGATGGCACCACCTAGTAGAGAACGACCCGGTGGCGAGAGGTCTCGCATCCCCAACATCTGGAAGTTTCCTGTTACAAGCTAACTGAGCGGAGCTCTGGTTCGATTCCAGGCTGGGTCATTAAGGCACGTAATAGTTTTTTTTTTTGTCCTCTTATCCCGCGTTGACCGGCGCGCGCAGCGCTAGTACTATCGTCCTGAACGCTGACCACTGAACCTTGGACTAACTGCAATTCAAAATTCAGGCCAACTTACGAGTCAGGTGCGTTCGACTCCGCTCGTTAAAGTCCTCCCTAATGCAGGGTACCTCAGCAGATAGGAAGACTCCGTGGCGAGAGGTCTCGCGCGCGCCCCGATTCAGCGTCTGGGAAATCAATGAGCGGGAGGTCCTGGTTCGAATCCAGCTGGGTCATTATTGTGACTGTGAGGATTTTTTCTTGTTCTGTTCGTATCCCACGTTGACTCGCACGTGCAGCAGCACTAGTACTTTCGTCCTGAACGCTGAGCGCTGAACCGTCGACCAACTGCAATTAAAAATTTAAACCACTCAGGCGTGTTCGACTCCGCTCGATAAAGTCCTCACTAAAGCAGAGTACCTCGGTGGGATAGGAAGGACCCGGTTGCGAGAGGTCTCGCATCCGCACCATTTAAAGGTGGTCATTTTAAATCAATTCAGCGGCAACTCTGGTTCGATTCCAGGCTGGGTCATTACTATGACTGTGAGGATTTTTTTCTTGTTCTGTTCGTATCCCACGTTGACTCGCGCACGCAGCAGTAGCACTAGTACTATCGCCGTGAACACTGTCTTTGACTAACTGCAATTCAAAATTTAAACCAACTTCCGAGTCAGGTGTGTTCGACTCCGCTCATTAAAGTCCTTGCTAATAAAGAGTACTCCAGCAGGATAGGAAGGACCCAGCGGCGAGCGGTCTCGCACCCGCTCCTGATTCATAGAATCCCCATGCTATTTAACGGGAGGTCCTGGTTCGATTCCAGGCGGGATGTGTTTTTTAGTTCTCTTCGTATCCCATGTTGACTCGCGCGTGCACCAGGATTTCATTCAACGCTCCTGAACCTTCGATTCCCTACTTCGCTTCGAATGCGTTTGACTCCGCTCACTAAAGTCGTTGCTAATAGAGAGTTCTTAGAAAGAACAGTAAGACTCCGCGGCGAGAGATCGCACCCGCCGCAGTTAAACGCTCAACGTCGGGTTCAGCGGGAGGTCCTGGTTCGAATCCAGCCTGGGTCATTGATGCGCGTAACAGTTTTTTTTTCTTGTTCTCTTTTCTGACCCCGCGTTGACTCGCGCGTGCAGCACTAGTACTATCGTCTTAAGCCCTGAACCTTGGACTAACTGCGAATTAAAAGTTTCAACCAACTTCCGAGTCAGGTGTGCTCGACTCCGCTCACTAAAGTCCTCGCTAATGCAGAGTGACTCACCAGCATGGGAAGGACCGGTGGCGAGCGGTCTCGCGCCCGCCCCAATTCATAGAATCCCCCTGCTATTTAGCGGGAGGTCCTGGTTCGATTCCAGGCTGGGTCATGCATAAACAGGTGGTGATCTTTTTTTTTTTCGTTCTCTTCGTTTCCCACGTTGACTCGCGCGTGCAGCACCAGTACTTTCATCCTGAACGCTGAGCACTGAACCTTGGACTAACAACAATTCAAAATTCGAACCAACTTCCGAGTCAGGTGTGTTCGACTCCGCTCGCTAAAGTCCTCACTAATGCAGCGTACCTCGGCAGGATAGGAAGGACCCAGCGGCGAGCGGTCTCGCACCCGCCTCTGATTCATAGGATCCCCATGCTATTTAACGGGAGGTCTTGGTTCGATTCCAGGCTGGGTCATCAGGCGGGATGAGTTTTTTAGTTCTCTTCGTATCCCACGTTGACTCGCGCGTGCACCAGGATTTTATTCAACGCTCCTGAACCTTCGATTCCCTAATTTGCTTCGAGTGCGTTCGACTCCGCTCACTAAAGTCGTTGCTAATAGAGAGTTCTTAGAAAGAACAGTAAGACTCCGCGGCGAGAGATCTCGCATCCGCCCCAGTTAAACACTCAACGTCGGGTTTAGCGGGAGGTCCTGGTTCGAATCCAGGCTGGGTCATTGATGCGCGTAACAGTTGTTTTTTCTTGTTCTCTTTTCTGACCCCGCGTTGACTCGCGCGCGCAGCACTAGTACTATCGTCCTGAACGCCAAGCGCTGAACCTTTGACTGACTGCAATTTGAAATTTAAACCAACTTGAGCCTGAGGTGTGTTCGACTCCGCTCGCTGAAGTCTTGCTGATGCAGAGTAGTACCTCGGTAGGATAGGAAGGACTCGGTGGCGAGGGGTCTCGCATCCGCAACATTTGAATGCGGTCATTTGAAATCAATTCAGCGGAAGCACTGGTTCGATTCCAGGCTGGGTCATAGGTTCTTACTCCTTCCTTTTTTACGAAAGTTCCTCCTCAGCTTCAGTACTATCTCATGTCGCATTCTGAATCTATTGTCCCGAAAGTTGAACCCTCGTGATTCACCGTTCCTGCAGGCTGTTTTTTCTTTCAGAGATGCAATCACTAAATGCTATCTTCAGGCAATTGGAACAGCGCGACACGAAATCCAGTCAATACAACGACTCTCGACTGTAAAGAAAGAACGACCCTGTGGCGGGAGGTCTCGCATCCGCAGCATCTGCAAGTTTCTCATTACAAGCCAATTCAGCGGAGCTCTGGTTCGACTCCAGGCTGCGTCATACATCATAGTCAAAGTCGATCCTTTTTGCAAAATTTCTCCTCGGCTGACTTATCTCATGTCGCATCTGCAGCTGCATCTGCATCCTTTAACCACAGCTCTATTGTACTGACCTCGATATTCACCGTTCCTGCAGGCTGGCATGACCCAGGATGCCCGAGTATCTTTCTTTTGGACACAAGGCAATCGCTAAATGCGATCTTCAGGACAACTCGACTTGATTTGGAACACTGCGCGACACGAGATCCAGGGATCGCACCGCTAGTAGGGAACGACCTGGTGGCGAGAGGTCTCGCATGCGCACCATTTGAAAGTGGTCAATTGAAGTCAATTCAGCGGCAGCTCCGGTTCGATTCTAGGCTGGGGGGCAGGGGTAAAGTGCCGCTTCACCGTTACAACTGCTGCAGATTGCCGCTGCGGGATTTTGATGTGCCGCTGCCGCTGCCAACATTGCCGCTGGCGACTGCCGCTATCTGTCACACTGCCGCAGCGTCACGTCAGCCTCTCACAGGGATTGTTCAACATTGCCGCCAGAGAGCCGCTGCAGGATGTGGGGGTAGCTGCCACTTGTGTAAAGTAGATTAATTGTTTCGAGGTTCGAACTGCGCCTTCGTTGAACCGAGTACTCATTGCGTTGAAACCAAGTTGAAATTGCCAGTGCCGACAGACAGTGTGAAGGGCTACACGGCTAGCGGCGGCCCTATAATTACCTCACATGCAAATCTCAAGTGTCCACAAAAGAAAAGTGCCGCAGCGACGCGGGCAGCGCGAAAGTGCCGCCTTACCGTTTCACAGAATATATTGAATCACCGCCGGTTAATGAAGGGAAGAAAAAATGGTACGAGGGTACTCTCACTATTTTTGAGGACTGTCAGCTCAATTTAAGTGCTTTTATGGATTCCAAGACCCACAATCGTGTACTTCTGAAGCCTCCTCCCCCCGGTACGACACTTTCAAGGTTTCCTGTTGAAAAACTAGATTGTGAATAACTTGATGAAGAATCAGAACACCGAGCTTTCCTTTGCCATGGTACCCGGGGGACAGTCGTAAAAGTCAGTCCAAGCACAAATTCTCAGTGGCCAGAAAAAAAACTGCTGCAGCGGCAGTGGGTACATCAGCAAACCCTGGGCCCACTACAGAGTACTACAGAGTGCTACAGAGTGCTGTAGTACCTGTAGTGCCTGTAGTAAAGGTCCCGAACTCTGTAGCACTACAGAGTAGCCGGGGCTACTACAGAGCACTCCATAGTACCAGAGCTTACTATGGAGTGCTCTGTAGTAACCCGCGGCACTCTGTAGTACTCTGTAGTGCAGACCTGAAATGTAAGAAAAGTAACCTCGCCTTCACTATTTAAGTCCTTCCTTTAACCATTCAAGTCCTTCTTTGCGCATTTCAAGTACACTAGACAGTTTGTATTGAAGAGATAGGTACATGAAGTAATTAATTAAATAGGGTGTTTTCTAACGGGATCGAACTCGCGACCTCACGCATTCGGCCAAAAGGCAGGTTACGGCGCACTACCAACTAAGCTAAGAGTCCGTGATGAGTAGAGGTAGCCACCGCGATAGGTGGGTACCCTCAAATCTCCGGGTCAGTTTACTTCCCGACAAGTAACTCTTTAGGTTCTTACCTGCCGTTAACAAGTTCGACGGTCATTCCCACCTGCTCTGCTAAAAATGTATACTGTGGAGATTTCTTCAAAGGTATATAGGACAAAACATTTGCAGGTCTAAAAATACACCCCAAACGAAAGTTATAGAGCTTGAAAAGAGCTGTAAGAGTTGTCTAGCACAAATTTTCCTTAGATGGCTTCATTGAGGCACAAAACACGAAATACTTTCCCAGACACGGCGGTCTCGAAAGCCAGAACCCCCTACCCCCCCCCCCCCCCCCCCCCTAAAAAAAAAACAAAGGACTTAGGACTAGTGTATGACACGGGTACGGGTAAACCCGCGGTAATACGGGTACGGGTGTCACGGGTGCGGGTGCGGTGTTGGATTTTTCCAATACCGCGAATACCGCAACCCGTACCTGAACCCCAAAAAGTTCCGCAAGAGGGAATTGAACTCATGATCTCACCAGTTTGAGTAGAAATATGAACAAGAGACATAACCAAGTAGACATAGAACCATTGACAGAGCCTGAAAGACTGTGAACATCCTATGGTAGGATGTTTGATGAAATCACACTTCCTTGATTGCACTCAACTGCATTGAATATGGGTTGTATCAAGCTGGAAAAATTCCAGTGCTCTTTAGTCTAGCTGTATATACTCTACATCCATGTTTTGAGGCAAACCAAACTCTCTTGGGTTCAATTCTGTCAGCTCCAGTTATTTTTAAATACCCGCGGTTATAAATTGCGGTATTGTGCGGGTACGGGTGCGGGTGACGGGTTTCGCGGGTACGGGTACGGTGTGACCTCGTGACACCCGCGGTGTCACCCGTGTCACACCCTACTTAGGACTTGAAGGACAAACAGTACTTTGTTCATCTACGTGTGTGAGCTCGAATCGAGTTGACCCCGACATTCAGGAAGGTGGCAAATGAAAGTTAACTAGCCAGACAAGTCCAGACTACTGCAATGAATTTTACCTTAATAAGTGGTTTACCAAGGAATTGCTCTGGACATCTATTCAACATTTTTGTTTTGTCAATTGACCTGAACCCAAGATGAGGAAGAAAACCTAAGTTGAATGTTCACTACAGTGGGCAGGGGAGTATTACAGAATAGAGCCTGACTTCAGACTATGGAGTACTACAAAATGGCAGCCCGACTACAGAGTACTCTAGAGTTGCGGCCAAACTACAGAGTACTATAGAGTTGTGGCCCAACTCTGTAGTACTCTGTAGTCCGGGCAGAGACTACAGAGTACTACAGAGTATCCACCTAGACTACAGAGTACTCTGTAGTAGCCCTTCTACTATAGAGTACTACAGAGTAGCCCCCCCCACTACAGAGTACTCTGTAGTAGCCCTCTTACTACAGAGTACTACATAGTAGCCCACCCTACTACAGAGTGCTCTGTAGTACTCTGTAGTAGAGGGGATACTACAGAGTACTCTGTAGTTGAGGCTCTACTATGGGCCACTATGGGTCACTACGGGAAAAATCAGGGTTTGCTGATGTACTTTGCCGCAGGGTGGCTGTGTTGCCGCGCGCTGCAGGAGAAGACGGGCGACGGAGGTGCTTCGGGGGCCAAAGAATCGGTGACAGGATTGAACCAGTTTGGGCTGAATGGTATTGAGATTTTTTGACACGGCGATGACTTGGCGTGAGTTGTCGACGAGCAGCCTGTCGTCGACGTTGAACATAATACATTGTTACACGAGGGAGGTTGAACCATGGTTGACTCGGAACTGTGGGTTCAACACTGGATAGTGGGAGATTAATTTAGGGAGAAGGATGAAGACACGCTTGATGTAGTTTAGAGTGCCTCGTAGGGCCGCATGAGTTTCGCGGACGACTACCAGGAGTGCCGCAGGCGTGCGGCACTTTGGTCACAGTGCCGCATGTCACACAGTCAGACTGCCGCAGACAATTGCAAAAGTGCCGCAGGCAGAAAGCACGACTGCCATTGCATGCAGCACAATTGCCGCTGCAAAGTGCCAAAATTGCCGCTGACAAGTGCCACAGACTGCGGCTGTTGCATGTTTGCCGCTGTTTGGTTGCCGCAGACTGCCGCAGACTGCCGCTGCAAGTCAAGTCAAGTCGTCCTCAACGACGCCAAGGGCCCTCAGGAGACCTCAAATTTATCTCCCAACTCTATATACATTGCCTAGGTATGTGCCTACATACTAATTGAGCCCAGGAAGGCCTCTGAACGTAGTGTTCAACATGTGCCGCTGGTTGAACTGCCGCTGAGTGCCGCAGACATTGCCGCTGCATGCGGCAACGGCACTGCTGCGGCAAAATCTCTTTACCCTAGGCTGGGTCATAGACGGTTGCGCAATCCCTTTTTTTTTTTTTTTACGAAAATCTTCCTCGGTGTAAAGTACTATCCCATGCATATGTTACATCTGCATCCTCTACCACCACCACAGCTCTATTATTCTGACTTTGAGATTCACCGTTCCTGGAGGCTGGCATTACATGATCAGCTTGAAACGCGGATGCCCGAGTATGTCTTTTTCTGCGGAAGCGATGCAATCGCTAAATGCTATCTTCAGGACAACTCAACTCGGCTTGGAAACGGGCGGAGCCGCTCAATACGTGGGTGCTTACCACCTCGTAGAGAACGACCCGGTGGCGGGAGGTCTCGCATTCGCAATATTTATTGAAGTCGTCACTTGGAAAGCAGTTCTGCGGGAGCACTGGTTCGACTCCAGGCTGGGTCATAGCTGCTTTGCTTCATTTTTTTTTGTTTTTTACGAAAATCTTCCTCGGCTGACTTATCTCATGCATGCATGTATCCCATCTGAATCCTCTACCACCACCACGGCTTCACTGTCCTGACAGTAGAGCCCTCGGCATGATGCCCGAGTATTCTTTCTTTCGGAAGGGATGCGATCGCTAAATCCCATTTTCCAGGCAATTCGCGACACGAAATCCAGTCAACACCAGGGATCTCACCGCCGAGTAGAGAACGACCCCGTGGTGGGAGGTCTCGCATCCGCAACATCTAGATTTATTTTAAGGTTACTCAGCGGAGCTCTGGTTCGATTCCAGCCTGAGTCATA